ATTCCAATTGTTACTTTTTTCAATAAAAGGGTAAGTGTTACTGAAGAATAAACCCCCTACAAACAATAATGCACCTGGATATTCTAAATGGTTTGACTACTATATTAAATAACTTAAGGAAAACCCCAAATATTTGCTTACCTGGGAAAAATCCCTACCTTAGTTTTATCAGTTATAGACCTGATCACCTAATAGCAATGAACAAAAGAAATACAGGACAAAACCATAAAAATCATCACAACATACACAACAATCACTATCTTTCCATTTTGTTTCTTTATGTTTGCAACGGAGCAAACCCAAACCTACCCTTTGTTTCCTTTAGCTGAAAAGTGTGGAAATATGGCATGGAAAGCAATTTAGTGTCACTCATTGTGAGCAGGCAAGTGCCTGGCATTCTGCAGTGGTCCTTGTTACAATGCACACTGCTGCTCCTACAGCTGCCTCCACCCATGGACACAAACAGCTGCAATATTGGGCTTCAAAAGACAAAGCAGAGCATCTCAGTGCCCTTCCTTCCCTGGTTATCCCTTGCTGTGAGAGGGACAGAGCCTGCAGGACTGCCTGTGTGCAGCTGAGCAAAGGGAAGGGTCAGCAGCTGGTGGCTGGAGACAGGACAGCCCAGCAGGTTCCCTTCTGCCACTTCCCTGCTGAGCTCCTGAACACCTAAGCCCAGTCCAAGTATTTTTGACCACATCTAACCTGATGCACAAATTCTGATTCACCATTTGCCATAAAGCAGATTTCTGTGCAGTGCAGGGAGTACTTCTAAAGGACCTAAGGACTTAACAGAAGGCAAGCAAGGGCATGACTTTACTACAGTCTACCTGCTCTGTGATAAGCACACTCACCCCATGCTAAATGGGAGTTCATGGTCTACTCTTCATGAGAAGCAAACTCCCTTCAGTTCCTTGTCATCTCTCATGTGCACAAGCAGGTGGCTGGGCTTGTACCAAGAAGAGGCTGGTGTGCATTTACCTTTTGTTTGTCTGAGCATCCCCTCCTTTCCCAGCAGCTCATGGACTGATCCCACTGCAGTGGCAATGGGTGGAACAGCCCAGCCCACACAGCAGATGTGCTGCCTTGCAAACCCAAAGTTTTACAGTGACACTAAGTCTCTACATTTAACTGACTGCAGCTGCAGTGGCCCCTTACCTGTCCCTCTACCTGCCTTAGAAGATGCCATCGGGGTGCAAAAAAGGGAGAACCACATACCTGTAAAGGATTAAGTGGAAGACTGCTCTGCTCCTGCCACCCCCACCTCTCTTCTACTCCACAAAGACCCAACAGGTTCCAAGACACAACCTTCACACAGTCATAGTCCAGTAATAGCAGCCCAGGAGACAAAGTTTGCTGACACCTGGGCAACCCACGAGAGAAAAGGTCACGATGATGAGACAAGGGAGCTGAAAATGGTCCAAGGAGCAAAGGATCCCCACTAGCACCTCCAGGAAGGCTGCCTGTCCACAGGAAAAACCATCTAAGAGCTATGAGAAGCCCTGGCCAGGACGTGCTAACACTCCAGCATCAGAGGTTAATCCCTGAGCTGTCAGCACTATGCAGAGGTGCTAATCCATGGCTGGGTGCCTGAATCAGCCTGGTAACACCTCCTGCACATGGCTCCTCCTTCACCAGGTTAGTGCTGAGGCTGGGTGAAGTCCAAAGAAGGATTCTTTATCTTTTCAGTTTATAGATTCAACCATTTCCAGTATATGAACAAACAAAAGGTTTCCAGAGTTGGGTTAAATCATAAACGGATCCATGGATGCACAGCACCATCACAGAGAGAGAAACAAACATTGCAGTCTGCACTGGACTCCTCAGACTTCTGATCATTTGTGTCACCTGAAGTGTTCTTTCCACCTCACACCAGGCTCAGGGCTCCCAGAGGAGCCAGAGACACTGCTCCAATGGCTCTGAGAGCTACTGACAGGACACAGCCAAAGGCACCACAGCAGTGACATCCCTAGGGCTGTCTGTGCACCCAGCAGTGACACCTCTGAGCTGATGCTCATGCTTGTCTCCCAGTAAAATGCCTGCAGTGTAAGGGGGGCTATTGCAAGCTTGAACCACCAGCTGCAATACCAGTGATTTCTGGTTTCAAGCCCCAAAGAGCTGTAGAAACAGAACTTCCACCTGAACAAAAATCACATTTGGCTAGTGAGAAAGCCAGCCCCATACCCACAAGTTAACAGAATTCTTTAATCAGAGAAAGGATCATTACTATATATATATTTATTTTTTTTTCTAAATCATCTTCAGGCATTAACAGTTATTTTTCTCCAGACATTGCTAGAAGCCCAAAGTTTGTTCTTTATGATGAGCTTATCCCAAGAAAGAGAAGTCCACATAAAGTGTGGAACAGCTCTCCCACTCTTGAGACTTCAATAGGACTGAAGAAAACTCCTGAAAAGCTCTACCAGTCCCAGAGAGAAGTCACTATTCATTGTGGGGTGTGAGTTTTGCTCCTTGCTAAGACTTTTGGCTACCACTGCCATGAGTGCAATCAAAATGCACATCTGAGTTGTACCCCACTACTATACCCCAGGATCATCTGGCCCAAATTATATTATCAAAGCAGAGGATGTTACTACATTCACCCTTTATTGAATCCTGGGAAAAACACTTTGAGATCAGCCCCAAACTGTTTTACTAGCTCTGCTCAACCTTGCTGAAAAAGCCGCCAAATTACAAAGTTAATTGGCAGCACATTGTTACCATATGTGGTGTGCAAGAGAAGCACTGAAGTTTATTTAGGCATCAGAACCAAAGGAGAGTGGAATATTACTGCTCTTTATGAGGATTTAGTGTTGGCCTTGATTACGAAGGCATCCCCAGCCTTGATCCTCCTGTGTGCAGCCTGCCCAACACAGCACAGCACACTGCAGCACGGGGGCACCAGTCTGCCTCCAGCCCCATTTCCCAGGAAAAACCCAGACACTCTGCTTGCTGTCTTTCTGCTCACTGGTCCTCAGCATTTTCCTTTTCCATGCTCACATGCTTCTTTCTTGAGTAAAGTTTTCCAAGATATCGCTCATGGTTAAAGCACAGCCCCAAACCCAACCAGCTGTGCAGCTGCTGGGTCACACAGATTTGGAACAATCCTCTTTGCTGCCCCACTTCTCTGGCTGGATCTCTCACAAATCTTCAACAAGAGCTGGATTCTCGGTCTACAGGCTCCGATTTCCACTCCTGCCATTTAAAATCTGAGCAAAAAAATGTAGCGAATTTGTATCACCAGGGCCTTACTCAGACTCTTCCCTCTTCACCCTGGCAGCAATAGCTCCTGCTGGAGCCTTTGCTCTTACAAAGCTCTAAACTTTGCAGTGGTGCAGCAGAATTCACTAAAGTGTGAAGCCCCAGAGCTCCATGACAGCAGTCCATAGCTGATGTTTGCAGTAAAATTGTAGCCACAGGCCAGGAACACTCTCTGTTTTCAAACTCTGACAGAATCCCTGTATTAGTGTCCTTGCACAGACCGCCCAGGCTACGCTGACATCTCAGCCCCACACAGGCACCTGCAGAGCCCCATCTGGAGGAATAAACTACAATTCACACAGTCTGCTAGGGGTCATGGGCAAAGACTTCTTGCCTCAAAGGATCATAAACTATTTTTAAATGTTTAAATGGACTTTTGTGAAGTGAAACATCAGGTTTCAATTAAGATGCCTTCATTTCCCAATCTGATGTGTGTTAAACAACCTATCAAAACCTCATAAACTTCAGTTCACAGCATTTTCATTTCCGGATTCTCTCTTCTCCTTTTAGTTTAAGTAATAACTTGTGTATTAAAATAATGTGTTTAAAAATAAAAACAAATTGGAGAAAAATAAAGTATGATGATTTTTGTCCTTTATTGAGGCAGCACTCCTGATTTTCTGGAAGACACATCAAGACCACATTGTTCTAATTGTAAGTTCTGGAGAATGCAGAGAGGTGAAGTAAGTTAATTCCTAGCTGACTGGAATATTTGCAATTAGATACCTTCAGTGCACAGAACAAAAATCCAGAGTTCCCATAATCCCATGACAGCTTCTGTACACAGCAGTGCATTTTTCAAAAGGCCCATTCCATGTGGCTGAATCTGTCTGCACATCTTGCACTTTGCATTTTGAGAAGGAAACATCTTATCTCCAGGCACCCACCCATCTGACTTGCACAAAATAAAAGTCTCTAATATTCCAGAAATCATCATGATATAATTAGAGCATGGAAAATGAGGCACTATTCTGTGTAGTCCAAATCCCTGCTGTGACATAGCAAATCTCCTGCACTGATAGCAATGAAGGGACAATGCCAGGGGCAGACCAAGCACTCCTTGTCCAGTGAAAGTGCTTCTCTCTGGGTTTGTCAGCTGTGCTAATGTGCCCAAAAATGTCACGTGTGGTCTCTATCAGCAACTATATCACATGTGTACATGAGCAATTTACCCACCCAAGTAATACTTACTCTAATGGTTGATATATTACGTAGAGCAAATATAAATAGGTTCTGAGGACAGTGTTGCAATGTGAGATAATCCAGAAAACCCAAGTCACCACCTACTCTAACACTAACACTCCAAAAAGGTGCACTGTGGGTGAGAGATATGAGAATGACCATTAAGGAATTTTGTTAATAAATATGAGCTGAAGCTGTGGTTTGCATTGTTTTCTTTTGTGAGCTTTTACATATAAAAGGTGTTGGGATAAGACCAGAATTTCTTACCAAAGGCCTCAGAAAGCAAACCTTTACCCTCCTCTACTATAAGCCTGGGATGCAACTGTGGCTTTCAAGGCACTGCTAAAGTGTTGATGATCCCCCCCAAAATCCATGGAGCAGGAAAGTTCTTGCCTGGATCTGAAGGAGTCTGAGAGCTGCCACTGTAACAGAGCCAAGGTCCCTCCCTTTCAGTGTCCAACAGTGGAGGCCCAAAGGAAACATAAGAACAGTGTAAGCCTCCTCTGCTGCTTGGTGTCACATCCTTCTCTGAGGTTTTGCTTCCTTTGCTCTATACGTACCCCTCTGCCCATCAGGCCGTTGTTGAAAGGCAGTCCAATGAAGCTGAAAGCTGCCTCCTGGATGAAGTAGGGATTCAGGATACGTATCTCATGAGGCTCCCTTGGGACACGGGTTGCCACTGACTTCCAAAACCCATCAGAGGCACTCTGGGAACAAAAAAAGAAACAAAAGATAAAACAACAAACAGAATTATATACAAAATAGAAAAAAATATTTCTATCATTTTATGTTAACAATAATATTAAAATGCACTACTGCAGCAGTTGCCATTGTCTCTGCTCACTGCCACAGGGCAGTAATGTAACACTGTGTGAGACCTGTGTCTCTTGGAGAGGTGGCAGCAGCATGGGCTGATGCAGTTGAGCCAGTCTAGATAGTAACTGTGAGCAAGAGACAGGCCAGGGCTTCAGCACAAATTGCCTCCTCCCTGGTGCCTTCTTTTCACTCTAATTGGCAGCTGGTTTGATCCATGGATTAAGCATTCCAGCACATCCTGTGATCACTCCCACCTGCCTCCAAGGAGATACACCATTGGACAGCAAATGCTTTTAAGAACATTCAAAGAGATGAAAATGACTGTACAGCCCTACCTGCAGTGTGAGCTACATGCTTTTCACTTTATCCTAGATTTGTCCTCCCATTAGGTTTTAAGTGAATTAAGCTGTAAACTTACAGAGGTATCACCTTGCCTTGTAAACAGTCATGAATGTTCATGGTACAAGGGGAGAAACAACTATGTCTATTATTTTTACCCCATTCAAGCTTTCACTCTGCAAACATGGAAGAACAGTGGCCTTGATGTGTGCTGCACTCCTAGAGAGCCGTGCCTGGGGAGGGGCTTGTGCCACTCTGCCACATGGCTTCCCATCCTTGCTCATTGTTGCCTTTGCATCATTGCTTCCCATCACTGACACCTTTCCAGGGGTCAGCAGGTACAGCAGAGTGCCCCCAAAATAACCAGAGGCTCTGTGCTCACAGGACTCAGGGAGCAACTGCGTTCCAACTTCTCACTTCTGTTTGGGTTAATTCAGAGCAAGGCACAGGGAGGATGGAAGGAATTTTAATCTGCTGACCAGCATCTTGGGCAGGATAATCTGAGGGAACACCTCCTTCTTGCAGCATTGAGCCATCTTCCCTGAGATCTCCATGACAAGAAACAGACACTACACTACATAAAAAGGACACACTCTGGAATTCATTACATACACCAGTTTTGGGTTGCTTGCAGCTTAGCAGTGACTTTACAGCTGCTCTCAAGGCACTGATGAAAATGTTGATTATCCACTGCAAAATCCTCAGGAGCTTCCTCTGCCCAGTAGTGATCACCCCTGTAATTACAGACTGGAATTCTGCCTCAGCCAATGCCTGCTGCATTTCACACACTCCTTGTACTGTGCTCAGCTCCTGTGAACTCACTCCACGTGTTGCTAAACACCTTACAGAGTGTTTCTTATGGAGCAATCCCAAGGATATCTTTAGCTGCTGAATTTCATATCCTGAAATTGAAACTTTGGCAGATGGTTCAGATGCTAGAAAAGGCATTAACAGAGCAAACCTGAGGAGGGTGCACACCATCATCCAAAGCAACATCTAGGAAAGCCAAATCCCATTGCTATCTGTGGCCCCTCTAAACTGCCCAAACATAATACACTTTTGACAACCAGGGCAAGCATCCCATGGGTTTAAGTTCACATTTCAATAATGTGCTCCTTTGGGATGCTAAATGGAAAAAAAATCTTAATTATCACTCATATTCTTTCATCATAGTAGAATTAGAAAGAATGCCTGGTGTCAAAGTAGTCTAACACTTTCTGTTATAAGACATTTCAGCCACTGAGTGATCCCAGCATTTAAAAAAAACAGAAAAAAACTTTACAAATATTAATAAAGTCCAACATCCATTTGACCAAGGGATTTGAGGGATTTGGTATGCCAGCTGGGTTTTGCCTCCTTGTGAAAATTCATTAAAAATTGGATAAATATTAAACCTTTGGAATTTCCTAAGGGCACATATAAAGTAGAGGCCTTTCAGTTCCAGGAAAGGAGGGGGAGAAAAAAAAAAATGGTCACAGACTCCACTTGCATTAAGCATGCTCCAGGTCTCACAAAAATGAAGATGATAAGCAAAAATCTTCAACAGCTACTCATTCAGTGAAACCATCTTATCATGGGCTTAAGCAGGCACACCCTGGAAAAATAGTGTGTGACCTTGAAACTAAAATAAATTTATAAGTTCAATTACGATTTCACATACAACTCTAAATATGGCATTGCACAAATTTTGTGAACAATTCAAGCCAAAGGTCTGCAAGCTATTTAAAGTGGACAGAAGATGCCTTTTGTTTGGACTTACACTCCATAGGAGATTCTATATAAGTTCTGGGATTTAAATAGGTTTTACATGGCTTTTAGATTACACACAAAACACTAAATAGAAAAAGAATTAAAAAAGAAAAAGAAGGAAAGTTATAAATGTTTGAGAGTTTTATTCTTTGCTGCTGCTGGAGCTGTTTGGAGAGAAATAACCACACATATCACCATTGTCCATTTTCCCAGCATTGCGTGAACCATGAAGACCACACCTGGGCTCCTCTCAGCTAGTTCAATGCCAGTGCAAAATAAATGTGGGTACCTATCCCTTGTTGGAAATACAACCAGTCTGTTTTACTCCCCTCTATTTGGCTGTTTCTCCTGTTGCTCTTCATGGCTATTTCCTCAACCATTTCCTTTGGCTATCACACTGCTCTGAAATTGCTCTGGCTTCTCCATTCTGTCTCATTTCTATTTGCTCTGTGTTCATCCCTTTAACCTTTCTGGGCAGTTGCCCTGAGATTAGTTTTGAGGGACACCTGGGGTAGTCTTTCATTTTGGTGAGTTTTCCCGCTGTAGTTTCTGAAACAATTGTAGGGAGGAGCACGGAGTCTCAGCAGGCAGCTCTCGCTTCTACCTATACAGCAGGCAAAGCCCTGTGCAGGGCTAAAGAACCAAAACCTGTTTTCCTGGCTTACAATTACTGAAATCCCAGCCTTGTGGTTTGGCTCTCCAAGCCCTGCAGTCCTGAGCTCCCTCCTCAAGCAGTGGTTTTGTTCTGCAGCTTGTCACTGGCACGCTCCAGAGCGCAGCACCAGCCCCACGGGCCCAGGGGCTGCTCCCGGACACAGCCCCCGAGCGGGAGCGCAGCCCCTGCCAAGGCTCCGCGCTACCGCTGCTGATCTTCAGCCTGATTGGACCCAGATGTGCAGAGAGGTTTCCAAAGCAATTACTTCCCATCGGGGAACGCTGTCCCTTTTTTTGGCTGGGAGGAGACCCGAGGAGCAGCAGGCATTAGGAGGGAGGGCACGCTTTTCCTGCCAGATTCAGGAGCTCAGACTCAGTTGGAGGTTGGGGGCATCCTCTGTTGTCCGCTGCAGTGGCTAAACCTGCAGTGCTTAAGGGTGGGCTTGTCACAATGAAATAAGTCCTGTCCTGATGAGCACAAGGTAAACAGTCAGAAAATGAGTCTGAAAAACTACTTTGGCAATGTTCCTGCAGTGCCTCATCACCTCCTGGTACTGAGGTGGAAACCAGAGGGTCCAGGCTGGAAATTGTGCATGCTTGTGTTAAGCTTCCACTGCTATTACTTGTTGACATTACAGTGTACCTGGAGTCCCAGTCACAGATCAGTGTTCACAGTGCCAAAGGCTGCCAAAAGAAGCTTCTGTGATACAAGCATAAAGAAACAAGCATCACAGAGAGGCAGACAGGAGAACATGACTGAAGTACCAGTCTATGAGGGCCATGGCATTTTTAACCAATCTTGGAGTGTTTTCAAAATTGTATAATTGCAAAGGCATCACTAAAGGCTTTAGATGAAAGTATTTTAAAAGCACAAAATAATTTAGATAGGCCTGGGCTTTCAAGCCAGTCTCTTATCCAGAAAGAGAGGCAGAAAGAGACACCACCTCTATAGACACCACTCCAGGAATAAACTGGTAGAGATATGACAGACCAAAGATAACAGATTAGGAGGAAGGGATAAAAAATGTCAGGGCTCACCAAATAACTCCAGGAACAAGACAACCCAGCTGCAATCCCTCATTCTGTCCATTTGCAGAGTACTGAGGGCTAATAGGCACAGCCAGTTGTAAACTATTTTTTGTCTCTATTCAGTTTTCCATCCCCTGTTCTCAGATTTACCAAGGCAAATCACAACATTTGCTAAAATAAAACATGGAAACTGAGAGCCTTAGCCAAGAAGCACCTCAGTGGAAAATACAAACCACTGGAAGCAGGCTGAGTCTCCCACATTAACAACATTTCTAATATACTGAGCAAAATGAGAGGTAATGCCATTGCATCCTGGTGATACAGATGCTCTTTTGCGCCTCTGTGGCAGTGCTGGATTTAGGAGTACAAGAAGCATAGCTCATTGAGACTTCTAGCTCTGATGGGAAGGGGACAGGGACAAGTCAGCTACATGCAACATGATGTCTGGGTATGCAATACTTTGCTGCAGAGCAGCCAAAGGAAGAGACTGGAGAGGGAGCCTGTGGGAAATGGAGATTACTGCTTTTCCAAACTGTGCTAATACCAGAAATGGAGAGGAAGAAGGACATGAGGCAATAAAAAAAAGTCAAGGGATGATGCACCAGTCACAAGACCTCACTGTGCCCTTGAGCACATTGTTAATTGGAATCTCTGCCCCCACCAAGGCTGGAATGTGGTTTATTCTCAACCCGTCATCCACGAGCTCTCACTGTCACACAAACAAGGTACAGCAAAACCACTGCAATCCATCTGCAGAGGCTTTTGAAAGGTTTCTGCTCAGGCATGACTGGATTAGATGTGGAAGGTGTGTTTCCACTAGAAAATAACCATTTTATCTGCCAATGCTGCATTTCTCAGCGGTCAAGTAGACACAGAAGCCTAGAAAATGCTCTTCTACAAGTGGTAATATAAATGAAGTTGCATCATTTACACTGATTATCAAAGCAAACAGGAATTTTTAGCAACAAGAACAGAGGTGCTGAGAGCCTGCAGTCTGGGTTAATGGTCAATTGCCAGACCCACTAGCCCACACTTCAAGCATATTTACCCAACTTTCTCCAAGCTATGGAGAACCCCTCACCATCCTCTGCACATGGCTCTGACAACCAGCATTCATTTG